GGGTTTGCAATGTTGGGCCAAATGAAGTCAGAATTTTATGTAATGAAAATGAATCATGACTGCGCTTAAAAGAACAATATGATGCTGATTGTATAAATATAAATTTTTCTGAAACTGGCATCAAGGAACGCTGCATTTTCAATTATATTATAGATTATCATGTAATCTCTAATTCTTCTACAGATATGATGCATGATTTACTAGAGGGCCCAGCCAATTATGTAATGTCCAAAATTATCATCAGATTAGTTGAAAAAGATTACTTAAGCATAGATGTAATTAATCATGCTTTAACAACAATGAATTTTGAATTTGAAAGTGGAAATGTACCACTTGGAATATCTTGGAAATATCTAAAAAAAATGAGAAATTAAAAGTATCAGCGAGTGAATCACTATTTTTTGTGAGATATTTTGGTTTGATGGTTGGAGAGTATGTGCCTGAAGATCATGAAGCTTGGCAGTTGTACATAAAATTGAGAGAAATGACACATATGATGACTGTGCCTGATCTCTTACACTCTTATTTGTTACAGTTAGAAATTTTAATAACTGAGCACCATAAACTGTATGTAAAATTATTTGGTCCTCTTAAACCAAAATTCCACATGCTGTTACACTATGTGCGTTTGATATTAAAAAATGGACCTCCGGTCAAAACGTCATCTATGCGTTGAGAATCAAAACATAAAAATTAAAAAAAAATTGTGGTAGCTATTTCGTCACGAAAGAATATTTTAAAATCAATAGCTGTAGGATACCAGATGAGTTGTATGAATTATTATTTTCATAAATATGAGCCTATATGAACTGGCAGAGACAACCTGACTATTCATTCCATGATTTTTTTCCATCAGTTGATGTAGGTAGTACACTGAGTTATGTCACCATTGATGATGTGACGTACAAGGCTGGTACTATTTTCATAGCTAAAATTTATGAAAGTGGTCCAGAATTTGGTGAAATAAATCATGTGTATAGAGTAAATGGTAAAATACATTTTTCTTGTGTACCCTTTAAAATTATTGGATTTAGCTACCATTGTTTTGCTTATAGTGTTATAAAAGACCTAGAAGAAAAAAAATTATCGAATTGAATGATTTATGTTTGTGCGTACCATGTCTACTTTTTGTCAAAAATAACAAAAGTTATGTTGCTACTAGACATGTAATATGATTTATAAAAAAATATTTAATTATAACTTCGTAAACACCAATAAAGTTTCCTACCAAGATTTGTTACTTTTTATTTTGATGATGCAAATTATATTTTTGTGCAGATTTAATATACTTTTTATCTGGCGATTCTGAATAACTATAATAAAACTAGATAATTCAAAAAATTACGTATTTCTTAGCAATTAATACGCAGTTATTATACGTGAATTTGTAAATTCATTGTATTGTTTAATAGGTATCAGATTTTTTTTTTTATATAGCCTAAGTACAATATGTTTTGGGACAATCGTCATATGATTTTACAACTTTTTTTTACTTTCATGGCCTCATACGTTTATACTTGTTATTAATTTATTTAAAAATTATATTACAGAGATCCATAAACTCACTATTATACGGCAACAGAGTCTTGATGATCTCTTTTAAGTGTATATTTAACAACTCTTTGGATAAAATGCATAACACAAATGAAGTAAACAAAAGACCTAATTTTCCATGTATATTTTAAAGTATGTTTTTCTTGTACATGTGTGTACATACGCTTCAAACAGCACATAGTTAGATAAATGAGTAAAAAAAATACTAACACACATACGCGCGTGTGTGTATGAATTTATTTGTTTATTTATTTGTTTAGATATTTCAACACAAGTGTAGATTTTCTATAATTGTTAACCCATTTGCTGTTGCAAGAAATGTATATATATATATATATATATATATATATATATATATATATATATATATACACATATTTATATACCATGCATTCATGAGCATCTAGCCACGCCATCTAACTAAACTCGTTTGTAGCATAGATCTTTCACGAGTTGGCACGGGAAAAAAAACTACACCAAGCATGGATGCATCAGCGTCTAGTGTAGGAAGGTGAAATCTAACACTAGTATTGGTTAAACTTGATAGGTGTCATTTTTTTCCTCAATAAAGTGTAATACAGAACCATGCTTTGCTCAGCACGTTAATTACTGCTGTTTTCCTTTATCCGTGTGTGTATGCAATATATTTAAAAAGTATACGTCTGCTGGCGGAACCATAAGTACCAAGTGTATTAACCAGGAGTTAAAGGGAGAAAGTGTAATCAATTGTGCGTATTTGATACCCTTTGCTTCAGGCCAGGGAAAGAGTATATGACTCACTTTTGGCATCTACCAGTAATCTAACGCTATTTTTTCTGAAGTATAGCTTTTTTTTACTGTTTTATTTACAACAGCTGTGAATTCCTTAGAATATATGCTACAACCTTAAAAGTGCAATTTATGTGCCCAGCAGAATAAGGCGAGGGACAAATAGAATAAGTTTCAAGTTATTAATAGAGTTCCAGGCTTTTTTTTTTTTAAATTTTCAGAGTTTCCTTTCCGTCAAAATGACCACGTTATGGCATTGTTTGTTAATTTCTTCTTTAAAATTATCGTTTTTATCCTTCAGAATTCGGTATTTAATTCTTTCAAACTATAGTTATTTCGTATTTAATTATCAATTAGTTTTAATCTTTATTTTAGACAACTTTCATTTCATAAGCTACTGCATAATCAATTGCATACAGATTCTATTTTTTTTTTTTAATTCTCACAGAATTTTTTGTTGGGTGTTTCATTGAATATCGTCTTATGAAAATGAATTTATCAGTTGTGTGTGTATAGGTGTAATTATTAGATGAAATTCTTTTCTTTTACTACTAACAATACAATGTGTGAAATCAGTTTGTGTATGTATATTTATTTACTTATCAAAGTTATACTTTTTTAGGCACGTTATGCGTGAGAGTAAATCAACGATGTCAGATTGGTGATCTTAAGAAAAAGTGTGACGGAAGTGGATTTTGCATGTTATTCCCTACTTTCTCTATCTCCATTAATGTACTTTCAGTCCCCTTTCACACCGCACAATGCCATCACACCATGCTTTTTGGATTTTTATGAATTATATTATTTTTATTTTTTTTAACGAATTCTGGGGAAAAAAAAACAGTTTCCAAAGAGATTGGAAACTTCGACCTTCAACACACTAGACAAGGACCTTACCCACTCTGCTATAAGCGGTCCTGGCGTAGGTAATTTCATTACTGCCTGTTATCGTGCAGTTTGTTACTTATTTTTAATGCAAGTTTGTATTTACTGCGTATAAATTCATTTGATTTGATTATAAATTGAATTACTAAATAATTTCATTATTAAACGAACTTATTTAGTTAAATGTTTTTTTCGAAAACTTAGAAATAAGTATATTTAAGCAGAACAGCTTTCCTATGTATTAAAAAATATTCATTCACTTATTGTTTATTTGTTACTTAAACAATAAATAAGTAATTGTTCTTACAACTTTTTCATATTTTTTCAAAACTTACAGAAATAAAAAAAAGTTTTTTTGTACCGTACAAATGCAATAATTAATTTTTATTGTATTTTACTCTTTTACAAATTTTCCATTCGTGATCAAAGTGATTTCTTGACTTAAGGACGTTCCTCACATAGTTAATGAGGGAATAAAGTTCAGAGAAGTGAGAGGACCGTAAATTTGTGCAGCAAAGTTAGCAATTATTTTTTCCATGTGCATATACTTATATACATGCTTTTACTCATATTTGATCCCCTCTTTCTAAATCTATTTAAAAATCAGCTTGTGGATCTATTCGAAAATCTAATAGGTTTATCTCAAAGAATTATTTTAAACTAAAATGTTTGGACAATTTCTACACATAATATAAATGCCATTTTACGTGTTTTTTTGTAAAGTTACATGTTACATTGCAATTTTTGAAAATTTGACATGCAAAAAAGGTACAGTTAAAATATCTTAATTTTTTGGTTTATTTTTTTTACAATTTTTAATACATATTTGATGTGAATAATACCTTTCTGAAAAACATATGTGTGATGAACGTCTTGAAGGGACATTCACTGGCATCTAATACTGTGCATGTACTATACACCCTATTCAAGAAAGTGGTACTGCAGGGTGGTTTGTCCAAATTTTGAGATACAATTATATTTTGGGTATTAAACATGGATTATAAATAAGTGTGTGAGCGTATGTGACACATGTGAGCGTCACCTTAGAGATATAATTAGCGTAAGCAGTAGAAAGTTTTTTTCAAATAATTGGAATATTTGATGAAAACGCACAGTCTTGTACTGACCAGCCTACGTATTGTTTGTATTGTATCGTCCCTTAATATACTGCTTATAATCATTCATTTAATAAATATTAAAATGTTTATTAAATACACACCCAATCAACATAGGTATACTCATTTGAACGATAATTACATCACCTTCATACACAACATCGTTTTACAGAAGGTATATTTGTATTCAAGATTTTGTTGTCTGCCATATAATTTCATAGAAGTATTAATTCGTACTTGGATACCGGAGTACTGGTTTTTGTGTTATTCTCCGCTGGTATCAATCTATCGTCTGATGGTTTTTTTTCTTTTGGTAACCTGACTTTGTTAGTTTAATAATTAAAGTTTGAAATCTGTGGTGTACTTAAAATCTTTTCCAGTGACATACAGTGAATACAGCGATAATAACTTTTGATAATACTGTAAGACTGTGGTCCATGCACTACCAAAGAGAAGGTAAAGGAAGAGATGAGAAGCGATGTGATGAAGTTTTTCATTACTGATTTCCTTGTAGACTTTTTAGGCTTGGGATCAAACATTTAAAGTAGTTCAACTAAATGTTATATGTAATTAAATGTAATAATAACACAATTAAATGTAATATTAATTTAATTAAATGAAATATAAGTAACATATATAATTACTGAATAAATCAGTAATAGTTTTTTTTTGTGTTGCAGTTTGAATTTTTTTGCTACGTTATTTCTTCCACTTGAACGGAACGAAGGTAAGTTTTTGTTGGGTCAATATTTTCGTAGGCTAGTGACTGAAGTGTTATATTTTGTTAATTGATTTTTTTTATGTGTCTTCCGATAGAAAGAATTTCTTGTGCCTTAGTTGATATTTGCTTGTTGAAGTGTTCTAAGTGTCTATCTTGAATAAATTCGTAAAATGATGCGAGGATCTATGTCACGAAACGTGAGTTTTTGCAGGGTTAATGTTAAAAAAAATTTTTGTTTGTTAGTATTTGTTTGTATATTTATTTTGTTATGTACGTATATATTTTTTTTCAGATCGGTGTGATGGAGTTTTACAGGGCAAAGAGATGTCTAAATCGTTTGAAAAACGAACTTTCTATGAAGGCAGGGATTTGAATAAATTTTGAAGTTACTCTCGTCAGATTTAATCCGAAAAGGTTTAATAGAGTTAGTGTAAGTAATAATTTGATTTTTTTACGTATTAAAAAAAAATTTTTTTATTTATTTGTTTATTTATTTTATTCTTCTTTTTCCAGATTTCTGATATTAATACTACAAGGTTCTTCCAAAAGTCGGGCTTAAGAGTTTACGGTGATTCCATAAAGCAACCTTTTTTAATTTCGAGGGGTGCGAGATATTATACTGGACGGAATATCGACGTGTCTTCCGAGAAATTCATCGTAGTGAGAGTGGAATATATAATTTTAAATAACTGTTTGATGATTTTATTATTCATTTTCCAACCGGTTCTATCTTCCATATCAATGGAGTGCATGGAAGGTGCTCTTTTTATATTGATTAATATCTCCGTTTTCGAATTTCAATCGGAAGAGTTGGAATTTGAATATAAAAAAATAAAAAATTATTATTTAATTTATGTGTATGGCAAAACGAGTTAATAAGTTGTAAATTAAAACTTAATATTGATTTTAAATAAAGTTGGTATAAAAATGAAAGAAAACTTGTTCAAATTCATCTTTATAAACCTATGTGTGCGTAATAGTACATTACGATACTAGTGCGCAAGGAAGGCGATTGACGCATGTATCAATCACCTACCCTCTCGCACGTGTGGTGTATACAACTTTTCGACACATCGTGCGCGGGGAATGAGATTATGAGCCACAGCATATGGCTCATAATCTCGTTCATTGCACACGGCGTGAGGAAAATGTATATTAATGTATTGTTAAAATTTTGCCTTTTAGTCATCTAATTTATAAGCAAAGAGCAGTTTAACAAAAGGTCATATATCTATACATTCACACCAATATCTGGGCCTGGTATCAAGCTGTACCTGTTTAGCAATCATTTTTGTCCCAGCAGTAGCTGTTTTATCAAAGAAATTTTCTTAATTGGTCTTTCAATTCATTATTTAATTTATTCAATTAATTAACTTATCAGGGGTAATCTGCTTAGTTGGCATGGTAATATTTTGTTGGAGATTACTGCTGGATACATTCTTTTTTTTTTTTTTTTTTTTTTTTTAACAAAAATTGATGTATGTATAAAAATTGATGTAATCCTTTTGATAAGGGCGTTTATTTACTGTTTTTGGTCAAATGTTTAATGAATTAATGGTTATCAAAAATAATACGCCCGAGATATCCACATTGGGGATATTCGCAGGGGTCAACCCAACTGTAGTGCAATGGAAGGGCCTCATCCTGGAAGGTCCGCCTTCTTGATAACGGAATCTTCTCTGCCAGATAAGTATAATAGTGACCTTATGTCAGCAAGTAGTCATCTGTTGTTCTGTCAGAAATTTTTAGTGCTGGATTTTTCACAATTTTTAGTACTTTTTTTGGAGTATTATGTTGCAATGTAAAAATTTGAGGTTCGTTTGATCTACTCGATTGAGCTCTATGTACAAATCGTGGTAAATTAGTGAATCATTTTTTCAATTCTAAAATGCATGGTAATAAAATTAAAGCAATAACTATTGTAATAGTAAAGTTTACCATTAGGCTTCCAAAAATAATTGCTGTATTTTAATAATTAATTTGTTTTTTATTGTCATATCTTCTAAGATTTTCTTTATTCTAGTTAACGCTATTACCTAATTTAATTCTGCCCATTTATTTATTTCGGTTTTTTCTTGCTCTAGTAGGTCAAAAGTGAGGTTATTATTGCTGATTTAGATTATTTTGATATCGCGAAGGTTTAATAAATTTTCTTAACTGTAGGAAAGCTTTGATAGGATAGAAGTAAGTCTCTGTCAATTCCAGTGTTGTTACTCGATAAAGAGTGTAGCCAGTAGCATAAGCAATACAATTATTGTTGATCGTTAGCATTCCTGTACCTTGTAATTTAATTTCAGTTAGTTGTGTGGTTTATAAATAAAAAAAATTTGCAAGGATTATTTATATTGTCTATAAAAGTAGGCATATTTGATTGGCAATATAAAATCTCTTTATCATTACTGCAATTATTTAGAAAACTTTTGTCGGAAAGGATATAATTTCGAAGAATATTGCTGACGATCAGGTTACTATGACAGGACTTAATGCTAACGTATCTTTTCAAATCTGAGAGTAAATTTCTCGTAACTGAAATCGAGTGCATGGCATAATTACTGAATTGGTCTTATTCTATCAGCGGGAAACTTAGTGTAACTGCTAATCTCCCTTCTATTCAGTTCGTGCAGGCGTTCAAGAGTAACAGTTAAATCGTCCCATGATAGCGTATGCTCTGTTTTGTGTGAATTAGTTTCATTACAAATTTTTAATAGTCTTCCGTTTTTTATCATTAAAGGATGTAGGTGTCCTTGTGACATGCTTTCCACCACACAAACAAGTGTTTTGTAAGAATTTAGAATGAAAAAAAGAGATTTATGGAAATAGTTAGCCCATTTTAATACTTATGTTTTATATTTAACTTCTTTATAATCATTATCCAATCGGCATGCTTTTTTATTTAAACTTTACAATTTTTTAATTACTTTTTCATTATGTCTTTCATTTTTTTCTAATTTTATATGTATTTTTTTGAGGTTTGAGAGTACATTATGAGTCTGATTTGCTTCTAACTATATTATTTTTTGTCTAGAGTTGTAAAGATTAATTAAATCCGTATTTATTCCATCTGGGTCCTCCGTATCGTTGGATCTGAATAATTTTTTCAAAATTCACCCCACGAATTTTAGTGGTGCTTGTCTCATTATCATGTGGCTAGGAATAACTTTTACTATATTGTTGGAGGTTGTTTCTTCACTACGTTTTTGTATTTCAGGTGCAAAAAATAGTTTTAAATCTTTGTATGTTGATTTTGTTAAGCGAATCATATGATGTAACGTGTATTTAGGTATTAAATATCTGCATTCTTCATTTTCAAGTACTTTAAAGTACTGATTGATATTTTGTAATCACATATGTAGTTTCATCTGTATTTACACTTGTAAAGTCACTTGGAATTCTATTTGGAATTCCACTTGGAATTCCACATGGGATTTTGGATTGGAAATTCCAAGAGTCATTCCAAGTATCATTCCAAGTGGAATTACAAATGACCACTGAAGATACATTTTTTCCTTTTTTAAAATAGTTAAAATTGAAATATCAAGCAGTTTAATGGCCATGTAAGGTGTTATCATCCATATAGTAACACCAAATCAGAGGAGTTCAAGTATTTGTTCTCAGATTTCGAAAAAATAGATTTTTTTATTTTTCGTTCAAATTTTCTTGAAATGACTTGAACCCCTCTGCTTTGGTGTTACTATACGGATGATAACATCTACTATGGCCATTAAACCGCTTGAAATCTCAATTTTATTTTTTTTAAAAAAGGAATAAATGTACCTTTAGTGGTCATTTGTAATTCCACTTGGAATGTCACTTGGAATGACACTTGGAGTTTCCAATCCAAAATCCCATGTGGAATTCCAAGAAAAATTCCAAGTGACTTTACAAGTGTAAATACAGATGGAATTACATATGTGATTACAAAATATCAATCAGTAGGGTTAGTACATTGTTCGAACACAGTATCTAGTTTTTCATGGTATATTATTCAGTTTGGTCTTCAATGCTACAAAAATCTAACGTAATAGTAACGTGCCATTTGGTACGAATTAGTCTGACTTCATTAGTGTATTCATAATATACACCTGGATTATTTACTAAAATCAAATAGTCGTAAGGTTTTGCATGTATTTCTTGCTCGCTTTTTATAATACTAGGCCTTAGCATTAGCAGAAACTTTTAGTCAACATATAGATCAGATGTATCTGCAACAACAAAATAATTATTAATAAATTTTTTGTTTGTTTTTTTGTTCTTTTTTTTTTAATGGTAGCAGCGTTTTACTTGGTCAATATGTTCTTTAATTATTCTTCTGTTTCCTTATCTTGTATTTTGCTTTGATATTTTAAGTCTATTACGAGCTATTTCTTGGATTGTATGTAAATAACAGTCAAGGTCACTTGCATATGAGCTGTAGGTTTCTAGTTTAAATTCATTCGGAAGTGAATTTCGAGAACGTGCCTGTCTACCAAAGACAAGTTTGAAAGTTGTAAATCCTGTTGCTGAATGAACTAAAGTCTTGTGCTCACGCATTACAAAGGGAACCATTTTGTTACAGTCATTTTTGTTTTTAGTGTTAGTTTAAAAAAAATTGTTTAATACACCGTGGCTTCTCTCTAACGAACCATTTTCAATACTGCATGAGATTACGTGGTTTTGGTAGATTGAAAAGAGGTGGCCTCTAGCTTATAAGTTAGTCTGTTTTAAAACAGTGCGCAGCAAATATACGCATTGCTTATTAGTATCCGATAAATTACGTAAGATTTCTGGTTTGAAAGAAGCATTACGTCTTTTCTTAAAAATAACAAAATTCGATCAATTCATCCAGAAATTTTCACCCGTGCTTTATCATCAATTCTCGTGATTTGCACTGACATCTGTAAACCACACATCGTAAAGGCCATCGTAAAATTGCAAAGGCCAGACCGATCAAAGATTTTATTGGTTGTTTAATCAAGTCAATGTGTTTTTTAATCAGTAAACTGTACTACTTTTAAGTAACATGTAGGCTACAGAGCGTACCTGGAAACTCTACTAAATTACTGTCTCGAGGCAAAATTATCTCACTTAACGAGTGCATTACTGTTCGATGACACGTAGACAAAGATGGACCGCTGCGTTGGATGCCATTGTAGGACTTGCCAAGTGACTTAAATAACTTTAAGTAAAAAGATCGATTGATCTGATTAGTCATCTTTATTACAACGTATGCAAACAGAAACAATCATTTATTTATGTCATCGAGGTGAGAATGTAATAAGTAAGATCTTGAAATACATTTTGCCTTACAGATACCTTAAACTTGATTTTCGTGCGATTCGAAGAATCAAATCTTAGAGTTAGACGTGTTCATGGCAAAACTATGGATAATGTTATATTGGAACAATTATCTAAGTAAACATATATCGGCTTTGTAAAATATCACACTTACAATGGCGATCGCACTATGAATCCGATCAATTTTAATCATTTTCATATTAATTTTTACTATTTCTACGTAAATTGCTCTCAAACTCCTTCTTAACCATTGCAACTAGCCGTTAAATCATATGGTTTATACATAGATATTTATCATACCCTTCTTTCGGGTACTGGTATTCACTTTTTTAACAAAAGAAATCATATGGATCACAAATCCTACCTCAACAGTAAGTGCCTCTTTATTTTCGATTCAACATCAGATTTATTGACCAACGAATCTTTTCATTGAAATCTGACAAAACAGAGCAGTTTTAGATTGGACATTTGATTTACCGATGCCCTATTCGAGATGTTAAATGTATATTGTATGACAAGTATGAGATTATTCTCGAAACATGCGCCTCACGTAAAATTGTGGTCAACTATAGTGGGTAGATGGGGTCGCTAA